CAACAATTAAAAAAGTAATACAAAGGGTACTAAATTCATACTTTTTTTTTTTTTTTGGTGGATAGTTTATACTTTTTGGGAATCAGCCTGAAAATGAATTATGCAGTGAGAGAGTTAATAAACAGGGTAATCTTGCTGGTTTTTCAAAATGTGATTCTCTGGACAGCATACATTTGGGTTGATAAATCATCTTTCAGGTCTTGTTTAATTTCCTGAGAATTTATAAAAAAAAAATCCACATTTCTTGGGAAAGTACTAAACAGGCTGGGGGGATAAAAATTTACTTATGGAGTTAGTCTAAATTTTATTTTTTCTTCCCATAATTAAGAGAAAACTTTCAAAATTAATTTAAAAATGTTTAGGTTTATTTACAGTCATATTTAGTGCAAATGAACATTTTGGAATAAATAAATTTACAGTAGAAAACAAAGTGTAACTTCCACACACATCACATGATGCTTAATGATGTGCAAATGGAATGCTCATGTTTGGATATCTTTATTAACATTTGACACATAAAACAAACCCATAATAAATTACCAGTTAAGGAATTTTCTATAACCCTTATACAGTTGCACCATAGTGGGATGAAAAATAAACTACCCCCCCTAACTACTAGTGATTTTTTATAAAAGTATAAGATATTTAAAATAAGTATGTTATTGTATTCAAAACCTTTCACTAATGTATAATAATACAAATAATTTAAATATTATAAAAAAAATATTAAGAAAATAGTCACCTGGGATCATATAAACCCAATCCCAGAAGTTAAATGCTCAAGTTTCTGTCTGTACATCACAATAACTTTACACATTTCTGTTACCACAAAGTACTAAGATGGTTTATTAGATTATTACAGAAAGTAATACATGGGTTGAATTTAATGCTGCAAATTATGAAGTCAACAGATTTGAGACCTCAGTCTGTGAAGAAATCACATTAATTGAATGCTTATTTCCTGTAGGATAAACAATAAAATGAGGCAAACTGAAATCACTTAATACTGGTTATGCTGCTAGTTTTACTGTAGTTGTCTGCTCTTTTAAATTTCTTTATACAATATTTAAACACTTACTTTACACTAATACTTTTTTTTATTAACATATGAAATACAAGTCAATTAATTTCAAACAAATATTTTATCTAAACAATATTTTATGCTAGTCATTATTAATTTCATTAAAATACACTATTCAAAATAAGTTAGGGAACACTTTAGAATATGAAAATAGCTGAGGTGTAAAAATGTCTCATTTAAATATAGGGGATGCAACATGATTGTAAAGATATATATCAAACAAAGTAGCTTGTTACCAAAATATGTTACTGTTCAAACTATAAAAAGTTAGTTGGTAACAGGCCAGGTCATTAAACTGTTTCAATTCTTCAAGTTAACAACAAGCTAAGCATCAACAGAAAAACAAAGATAAAAAGTCAAGAGAAGACATTTAGAGTAAAAATTTGATGTGGTTTGTAGTTGGAAGGCTTGAAGCTGGTAAGAGACAAAGGATGCTGCCTGACCAGGATACTGTCTAATGTTATGAACAGGATGTAGATCTAATTTCAGCAAATTAGCTACACCACCAAAGTATGATTATGGTGAGAATGGATAGGTAGTTAACGTATCATACAATTGCCAAATAGCTTCAGGATAAGTAGCTAATGTATCATACAATTGCTAAATAGCTTCAGGATAGGTAGTTAACGTATCATACAATTGCCAAATAGCTTCAGGATAAGTAGTTAACGTATCATACAATTGCTAAATAGCTTCAGGATAGGTAGTTAACGTATCATACAATTGCTAAATAGCTTCAAGATAGGTAGTTAATGTATCATACAATTGCTAAATAGCTTCAGGATAGGTAGTTAACATATCATACAATTGCTAAATAGCTTCAAGATAGGTAGTTAATGTATCATACAATTGCTAAATAGCTTCAAATAGCAACTGAGCTAGATAGACCAGTGCTCTCTTCATATTGTAGAATAATGCAAGACGACACAAAATTAAACATTATCGCTCTGCTTACTTTAAGGTAAATCAGCATATGGAACTGGTGGTCATGATCATACAGACCTATATATCTTGCTTCCATGAATGAGTATCTCTGCCCACACAAGAGAGATTTAAACAATTCTTTCATCTTAGTAGCTCACAATGCTAGACTATTCACTGTAGCAGGTTATCTTTAAGAGCATGGAACTGACAACACAGAATAGCCTGCACATTAATCCCACTGGGAAGCACTAGGAAGACATGGTGCTGCAAGGCACCCATTACCACTATAGATTCTTGCACAAATTTCAGCTACCCTTCTCTGGAAATGGTGTTTAATTCCCTAAGCATCAGTAATTACCCTCATTTATAGCATGGGTAATAGATGAAGATCATGTTTAGAAGTGAGAGAGGATCATACATTCTATCGAGGCACTTCTTTGAGGAGTTTCATAAAATGATATCCTTACACGATGACACTTTTGATCTTGTTTTGGCCAATAACATTTTCGCCTTCCAATATAAAGAACCCTGATATTTTTTTGTCATCACAGCACATCTTTTGCATATTATTAAGGTACTGTCGTGCAGATTTCACCTTTACCTGGGACAGCCATTCCCCAACTTCTTTGAGCAGTGTGGACAAAGACGTGTATTTTTCTAGTTATTTTCATATCTTTTTATCATGATAAACTAACTTCAAATGTTATGTGTTACATAAAATTGCACAACTGCTCCCTTTGTCAAGAATATTAGTAAGATAGTCTATTTGTAGTTAATTTCATGTGGCAAGTAACTTATGGTTTTGTAGTATGATCATTAGTCCTTAATTCTGCTGTCTACTGTAACTCTAGTATTGCAAGGTCAGGACAAGCAAATAATATGCGAAAGTGTGAATGTACTACAGTACATAAAAAAGTTCTTTGGAGTATATCAGTGTTTTAGAGAATAATGCAAATGAATAGGATAAATCTGTTTAATAAAATCTAAGTTTATGTACATGTTAAAATCAATACTTTTTTTCTATAAACACAGAAAAAAAAAGGTTTCACATGAAGTAGTATGGACCTTTAATCCTTTTGTCGAAGGTCTTTGAGGCAACTTATAATGTAGTTAGAGACATGACAATCCACTAATATTTGATTCCATAAATTTCACCTAGACTATCAGGTTACGTCCCTGATTGAATAGGCTGTTCATTTAAAAATACATTTCTCTGTAATAGGTTTGTATGTTATCTTCAACAGATAAAAAAAACAGAAATTATACTTAAACTTTTTAAAAATATCTTTTACCATTAGTATGAGCCCAAAACAGGGCATTAAATCTATGGAAAGCTATACTCAACTGTAAATAAAGTAAATTAACCAATTGCTTGGTGAAAATCATCTGTTGTTTAATAACTTCCACATGCATAAACAATATGAAAAATTACCTAAACCTATGTTAATTGCTTAGGAAAGAAGTTTGCAGCATGATAAAAAACAACCCTGAAAAAATTAAACTTTTGATGTTTGTTCAAAGCACATATTTAATGTTTCAAATTTTTATAAAATACAGAAAATCCATCATTTCAACAAAAAACGTTTGACATTTTCAATATTGTTATGATTCATATGAAAATAACATTGGTTGAAATTTTAATAGGATTTTTGTACATAAATTTTTTTTTTCACAGTTTTCATTTTCTTGTATAAAATTTTTTTTCAAAGTAACAATTACAACTAGCAGGTGAGTTTGTCTAACAAATAACTGGCTCAGTGTTAATTAAAGGAATAACTTTTCTACTGACCTTAAATTACTTGTAACATTTGATCACTAGCTGGCTTAAAAAAAAAGCTAAATGCAGTGATGGCTTGATTAATAAAATAACTCGTTTTGAACAACTTTTAAGTTAAAACAAAATTTAAAACACAATTAACCAAGGTAAAAATCATTTTCTAAAAATAATTACATCATGTGACCAATCATGAAGATTCTAAACAATGAAGGAATGGGACATTAGAAAATTATATTGCCAAACTATGAAAGAAAAGAGTATGCAGCAGATATTTGAAATTTAAATCACAAACTATCATCATTAAATTTCCTAATCACTTGTTATTCATTTAAGATTTAACACAATTATTGCAAACAATCAGTTAAAAAAAGCAAAATTACAAAATGTTACAACATTAAATAAATATTTCCTCAACTACTCTTTGTAAACTAAAATAAACAGAAAACATTATATTTCCAGGTTTTGTAACAAGGTAAGTGCTAGGTATACTTAGTATACAAACACAAAACCACTAACAGCCACCGGAGATCATAGTACTCTTTATGAAACATTAAAAAACATATTTCTTACAAAACACCACTTCATACACAATACTAATGTTACTTGTACTTACAAATCCAATGCCTGAATTTGATGAATGGCACTCTTCATTACAAAATTGCATATATTACAAGTGACCAGTTTATGATAAAAAAAAAAGATGGTATCGAACTGGAAGCTCATGAATCCAGAAACATCTGTGGTTCCATTTAATTAGTGCCTAGGCTCTCTAGTTGAGCATTGTGAGATTAACCATTTCTTTAATTATTGTCTCAAAGGTAAGTTAATTTTTGTCAAAACTTTCTAAGAGTAGCCTTGACACAAGGCCTTCTTGACCTAGGCATTTTTCAAGAACTTTTGTAGTGAGTGAGAATAACGTCTTTAATGATCCATAACAATCACAGATTCATTTTGTCAAGAATCTCGTTTTGTATATACAACTGGCTTCCACCAGGTAGAGAAGGTTGTACTGATTATGCAGCCTATTCACAATATGAGGTAACACAATCTCTATACAATCTTTAAGTCTTGGCTACTGATTAACTTAGATAATGTTTTTTTAACCCGTAAAGAGGTAAGTCTGACAGATGGATTTGAGTGCCAACACTCTTGCATGACTTTACAGATTGTTCGTAACACCTGTGAAAAGAACAAACAAAAGTGTGAAATATGACAATTTCACCCTGTACAGTAAGGTGACATCTTTTTAATATCATATTTACACAAAACATGATCCATTAAAATAAGAAAAAAAATCACTTTATTAAAAGAACTGTGAGAACCCAAAAAGGAAAGTATCCCTTTTAAGATATAAACAATATGAGAAATACAATAAATAAACCATCTATTTAACATTACGATTGTGCAAAATATGACAAGTACAACAGAAATCAACTCTTTAAGCATGCGCTCAGACCCTGGGACTGACCTGATAACCATTGTTATAGTTTTCATGCTATACCTTTTAAATAAGTAAGTGAATGTTAACAAAATGAATCTCTGTACGGGTTCAGTAGATTTGCCTGATCTCGTAAACACCATAAAAAAAATAGGAAATAAATATCAATTATGCCTCTTTCATTCTAGAATGAAAACATATTATAACATGAAAACATAAATGTTTAGACTAAATAGCTTAAACCTCATAACATTATAAATTTATATATATTTATTATTTTTATTATATTGACCTTTCAGTCATGCCTGGTTAACAATACAGAAGTTAAAATGATGCGGCACACATGCACTCATGTTACCGTATCCAATAAGATAAAACTAACCTTTAGTCTTTACAAAGTAACTTGTCTTGGCTGAGTTTTAGCAGACTAGTATTTTGTAAAATACAGTCACATTTCAATTATTATACATTATATATGTATATAAATTGTTGATATTTTGAAACAAGTCCTTAAACTTGTTTTTCTTAAAACATAGAACAGTAAATAAAGAAGTAAAGCCAACAATTATCTCTTCCAGTTACAAATTTGTACTCATTTGCTGCTTGACGTAGGTCGCTAAGCCTTTAAAAATTTTGCACGTGGAGGATATGAAACAAATATTTCTTTTAGGCTTTATATATACATTTGAATAACTAAAAAATCATAAATTACTACATCAATACCATAGAATTCCATTATAATTTATCAAGCTTTGTAACTAAGATGTATTTTAGTCTAAAAAATATGAAATTTCATGCAGACTCAAGACACACCCTACCTCTTTGAAATATTGGTTCAAAAGAAAGAAATGGCATCCATGCCTATTAAAATGGCTGAGAAAGCCTCTAGGAGAACATTTGAGTTTCCGATTGGTTATTCATGTCATATACAGACATAAGTGTATATAAGGGAGCATTTCCATAAATGGAAAGAGGTGGGCAAGGTGCCACTGTATGTGATTTATTACTTGAGCAATATCTTGGCAAATAAAAAAGACCTTCT